TCCACAACAGCCATCACAACCCCTCCATGGCAAACCAGACTGAGCGTTTTAACACAAGAGACACCAAATATCCCTTTGTGAATCCAGCCCGAATTACTAGGATCTTGAAACGCACTCAATGCTTTTTAACACGATGTCTCAGCGACGTCTCAGCGCAGCGGAAGAGCTAATGACATTTGCATAACAAAAATCACGAAATATTAATGCATTTCCCCAGGAAAGCACCGGTTTACAACACAGCCGGTCTCGAGAGCTCAGCGCTGAGGTGCTTTTGGAGGAAACATTTGGAGGGGGAAGGAAAGGTAACCCGTCCATCCCGCTCCGCTCCGCTTTGCCCAGGAGAGGGCAGCAGCAGGTGGGAGTTCAGCGCGGGGCTGCGGGACCACCCCCCTGTGACATCTTGGCCCCGTGGGGACCATCGCGTCCCATCTGCCCCTGGCACCCCCCCTCGGTGCGGGCTGGGGAAGGGAGGCAAATACGTGCACGGCAAATCCTTCAAAGAGGCTTTTTGTGGCTTTAAGCAGAACAATTTGACTTCACCCAGGGATTGCTTCTAAGTATTTTAGGCTCCTTGCTAATCAGAATGGTCTGGGTGGGAAGGGAACTTAACGATCATCTTGTTCCAAACCCCTGCCATGGGCAGGGACACCTCCCACTAAACCAAGTTTCTCAGGGCCCCATCCAAGCTGGCCTTGAACTCTTCCAGGAATGGGGCATCCACAACTTTTCTGTGCAACCTGTTCTGGTGCCTTGACACCCTCTGAATTAAGAACTTCTTCCTAACATCTAACCTGAATCTTTCATCTTTAATTTACTATTCCCCCTTGTCCTATGATAATCTGCCTATATAAAAAGTCACTCTCCCTCATTTTTATAAACCCCCTTTAATACTGGAAGGCCACAATGAGGTTTCTCTGGAGCCTTCTCTTTTTCCAATTCTCTCAGCCTGTCTTCATAGGAGAGATGCTTCAGCCTCCGATCATCCTTGTGGCCTCCTCTGCACCCGCTCCAACAGGCCCATGTTTTTTTTTGTGCTGGGGACCCCAGAGCTGGATGCAGCACTCCAGGTAGGGTCTCCCAAGGGCAGAGGCAGGAGAGGAGGAATCACATAACAACCTTTTGCCATCCTCCTTTTCACCCCTATAGGGCTTTTCTCATCACGAGCCTTCTGTTTAATTAAGGCTCTGAGATTAAAACTTTGAGATGTCCATGCTAGTTGCTCATTTATGCTCTGTCAGACATCGACTCTGAATTTTTATTCCCATCTGCTCCTTCCCCCTGCATACCCAGTATTTCTCATATCCACTCCCCACAGGCCAAGGGCTCAGGCTGGCTTTCCCTTCACTCTGCAGTCATCAGCCTCAAACAAAAATTTTAGGATCCATCCCAAGGATTCCTCGCTAATTAAATGCCTTTCATTACAGACCAGCCCTGGGATATAATCCAAGGGCAGGGAGGCCTGAATAGGCAGGAAGAGCTTGGGGTGAAAGGAAACAATAGAAAAGGAATCAAAAGCACAATGAGGCTTCAGGGGGGAAAAGAAGGCACACGATACACTAGATGTGAACACAGATTCAGGCTGAGTGCATCATCCCCAGGGTTGTTGTTAACCTTGGGTACGAGGTGGAAACGTTCATCAGTCAGGCACTTGCCTTCCCACTGTCCCTCCTTTTTCCTCCCCAGATAGCAATCCCTGCTTTCCAGCATCAGGACTGAGTGGGTCTACCCTCAGAGGGGCCTGTAGGTAGCTTGCAGTTCACCTCTAGTCTGGTTATCAGTGGCAAAATTTCCTAACAAGCAGGGAATAGATTTCTTGGTATAAACCAGAAGCAACTCCCTTGCATCAAGGAAACAATAAAAATTGCAAGATCTGTGTTTGAAGAGAATTTACTCCTTGGTATTTAAAGTTAATTCAATTTGTATTAGAAATGAGAGGAAAATTTCTGTAACAAACTACAGGTTGTGAGGTATGGAGCCCACCGTGCTTAGCAAATTCCCAAAGGCCACTTTGTTGCTGAGCTCAGCTAGTGAAGGTGGGTTCCCTGAATTTGTAGGGAGGAGAATTCACCTGAACGATTGGCACCAAAACAAAGCTGGATGAAGACAAGTGCTGAAACTGAACCTTAGGAAAAATCACCCCTTATGGTCCATGGCCACAGTGATGAAGGGCTTTCCAGGTTTGACAGCGTAAGTTTAAAGGGTCTCTGTCTTTTCCTGTTGCTACTGATGAAAGCAAATTCCTGGTCAGCTTTTCATTAGAGAATCTTTTAGGCTTTATTTACAAAAGTAAGAGTTAAAGGACAGATAACCCGTTGGACACAACCCCTCCTTCAGGGAGACCATTTCCCATGGGCTGGGCTGCCATGTCCTGACTCCAGAGCAGGTGGGATTCAGCTCCCTTTGCCTTTCTATAAGGAGTGATGCATCCCTCAAGCGAACCTCACTAAAGGGGTTCAGGCTTGCTGGGTGCTCTTTAATTTTTGAGCACAATGAAGCAGACTTGGCATTTCAATTTCATTGTGAAAGCTTTGTTTCCCAATAGCTGAAGAAGAGGAAAGAAGCACGTTTCTCCTTCCCGCCTAATCAGGCTGAAGTTTCCGGGTGCCAGCCTCAATCTGTGTTAAATTGCTCATGCCATCCACCCGGAGAGATTGGACTTGGGTGCATAATAGAAGTTAATTCTAAAAGTGACTACTCAGATAATTAAATACTACAGCTGTAGTGGGTGATTCTGGCTCCTGGACCCCTCTCTCAGGTGCTTTGCTTTTCCTCCTTCCCTCACACCACTGTGGAGATGCCACCTCCCCTCCCACTGGCCGGTGTTTGGCCTGGGGCAGGTCCCTTCTCCCCAGCTCCCTGCAGAGGCCACATGTCCCCAACAAGCACCAGGGCTGAGGACTCCATGGCACCAAGCACCAGAGCCGGTGAGCACAGTGGAGAGATGGGCTCTCTATCAGCCAAGGAGCTACAGAGAGATAAAGGTCCAAATTTACTAAAGTTATCCAGGTGCCTCAACTATCCCAGGGAGCAAAACTCCAAGAAAATAAGCAGGTGTTTTTGAGGTGGCATTCGAATTGCCCAGCTTCAGAATCCTTGCAATGTAGACAATGTTCCCTCTGAGTCAGGGAGTGTGGGCTCCAGCTCCACAGGGCTGCTCTGATATAAATGAAAAGCAGATGATTAGCTCAAATGCACATACCTGAGGTTCAGCAAAATGGACCCCTGGGTACCCAAAGAACAGGAGTAGCCCCCACTAACCTCAGAGAGGCACCACAGGCAGTGGGATGGACCCAGAGCAGGCCTTACCTTGGTCTGAAGCAGTGCCAAAACACAGGCTGTGGAACACAAGCACTGGGGTGGCAGTCAGGATGTCTGTGCTCTGTCACCACCACAAAATACTTCCTCTGGCCATGGTTTCTGCCACCTCCATCAAAAATATCCATCCTTATTATTGACAAGAGCACCACAAACCTTTAATATCATAGATTAAATATTCCAAGTAGAACACAAACTCTTTAAAGTGGAAGGGGGAGGGCCAGGATATCTTGTATTTCCACTCCTCCAGGTCTCATTAAGTCTGTGCTCTTCTTATTGCCATGACTTGAGAACCCAACTTGCCCTTCTGTTCTTCACCCTAGAGACGTCAGTTCTGACCCTATGGAAACTGCACCACGGAAGCTCTTCAGTCTCCAGTTATTTTCTTAAGTGCAACTGGTCACCACACGTGCCATCAGCAATTTTAGGTTACTAACACTACCCACTGACCCTGTAACAGTACGTAAGGACCTCAAGGTCCTTCTTTCCACATAGCTATGGCACAACACAGCCCATCTGCATATGGCCACAGGAGCACAGGCAGAGCCCCCAGACCAGGACTTGCAAAGCCACATGACAAAACCTATTAGCTCAATGCAATGCAAAAAAGCACACAAAAGGAGCATCATCTTTTCCTCTGGACACGCTACAAAAGCAGATCACATGCCCTCACTGTTCTCTTTCTGGAGCTGGAGCGAATATCAAAGGATAATTCAAAACACATTTGGATGCACTTGAGGTAGGAGAGCACAGGGCAGTATCTCCAACAGGCCACAGAAACTCACCCCTTATTAACTCTGTTCTTTCTTACCTCCCCCATATTTGACAGCTCCTGGAGTGGGTCCAGCACCATCGCATCAGCAGTACTGCCAGGACCCATTCCACATGCTGAGCAGTTTCTGAAGGAAAAAGCATTTCCTGACATCTGTTCTGAATTCATTGCTCTTCTCTTTCCCCATGTTGTTTCATCCTGTGCTCCTCTCCAGCTCCCCCTCCACTGCCACCAGTCCCTGGCTGACCAGGGCTGTCCAGTATGAGTGAGGATCTTTGTGGAGATCTGATGACCCACATTTCTTCCAGCCCTGTTCCTACCCCTGCTACCTTCCATGTGTGCTGCTGACACAGGATTTTGCTCTTAATAATGGCACTGAGCAATCTGACCCTAACCCAGCAAATCATTTGTGCCTGCACTTTCTTTCACATGCCCAAGTCCTTCCTACTACAACCATAGGTTTGAGCGTTGGCTAAATTAAAAGAACCTTTGTAGGACTTGAAACCAGGACCAGGCTCATTGCTCTCTTCTCACTGCCTTTTGGAATGGAGTTTTTGCAATGCTAACAATTCTAAGGATAAGTAATGATTTACACAATTATTTGACTCTCATCTGAAGTTTTCCCTCGTGCTCTGCCTCACCTTGTGCTACCTGAACAGTACCTACACAGTCCTGTTAAAAACTGTCTGCATAAAAATATTCAAAATATAATACTGCTGAGACACAACCAGCTCTTCCTGCCAATTAATTTGCCAATAATTTTGCATATACAAACAAGGATCCATTTTTAAGGAACCAAGAGTCATCATGTTCTTGATACTTCCCCCTGCATTGCAGAATTTTAAATAACCCAGATGTCTCAGCACGCACCCCAACACTTTGCTTTTAGCAGGATATGACAGACACCACCACATACACCAAGCATGTAGTAGATTTTATTAAGCATAACTTTGGTTCTAAGTATTCCACCCTCATTCTCATAATACCTTTAGTTAAAAACAATTATACAAGAGCAAATACAAAAAATATTAAATTATGAAAACAAATCCATTAAGGCTCCCTTTTTATATTTATATATATTTATATATGTACACTCAAACAAGTGCAGATATTAACAGAAGGTTAAAGCCACAAAAATGCTAAAAAATCTACTACTATACTATCAAAAGCAAGAGTTTTAAAAAAGTACAAAGTGGTAAGTGAGCAATTTTCAAATCACTGAAGTATTTGTTGGATTGCTTCAAAAACCCACATAGCTAAAGGGCAGAGCAGGAATTGCTTACGCTCGCTGGCAAGCAGTTTCTTACTTGAGTAGCCGCACAGGACACTTGTGGTGTGACTAGCTGGCCCCCCACTTAAGGGTTGCCCAATCCTGACTTTAAAGACAAGCTTTTGCCTGTCAAAATGACATGGAAGTGGCTGGGGTTCCTAGGCTAAAGGGTTAGCAGGATTCAAAGATGTTTAAACACACACATTGATGTTCTGTTCACACGGAGAATTAATTCCACTGAAAAACAAAAAAAACAACTTCATGCTGTATGTACAAGGGAGTTTTCTGGCCTCCTGTGTTTCAGAAAGAGAAACTCTACCCTGAATCTCAACCTAGCTGGGGGAGAAAGCAGAATGCCCTCAGCCTTGAGGGGCCCAATCCAAAACACCTGCTGAAGCCAAAAAAAGGTCTCTGTCCCCCACCAACCCCAGTGCCACCGACTTCATTTGACTGTGCACATGCGGTAGGAGTGCCATGTTCAGCAAGGGGAAGTGGCTGACAAGGAATGGTCTGCTCAAGCCAGAGGAGGATTTCCTCACTGACTTCTGGGCTTTTCCATACTGAGCAGAAGGTTAACATGGAGTTGAAAGCAAGAGACTGATGTTTGGTAGGCTGAGAGTGGCCAAGACAAAGCATGAGCGTGGTGTGGAAGGCTCCTATGTAGTGCTGTCTCAACAACATGAAACAAACTCAATCAGTGCAAGTGTTTGAATAATGTGCTGCCAGAAAAGAAGATCCTCTCCTGCCAGGAGAAGGGAAGGAGAGAGTGAAGAACCTGCAGCATTCAGGGTGCTCCTTTGTTGAGAAAATACATGGAAGAGTCCTACGTTTGGCCTTTGTCTTTTGTATGTCCATAATCTGAACAGTCTGTTAGACAATCTTCACATTTAATCTTCTAGATGTGAGTCACACTGCAAGTCTAAATCAATGGCAATACGCTTATCACAATTCAATTTACTCTCAATCTGATTATGTCGTCATAAAAAAATGCCTGTATCTTGACAAATTAAAGTCTGTATCTAGGAAACATTCCTAATTGTGAGCATTTTGTCCTAAGTGTTAGGCTGAAACTGTATTAAAAATGTCCAATACTTACAGGAAAAGCAATTCAGAAAACAAACCAACAAGCCCTCCCCTACCACCTTTACAATACAAACACACCACTGTTGATATTAATAAAAAGTGTTTTCAAACAGTTATGTCCAATGTAATTACAAAGTAGAAATTATTGTGTTTAGCATCCTAAGGCAAAGGCTAGGGATTACATCCTCAGCTGATATGGATGAACACAGCTTCAGTGAAAGCTAGGACTGTGCAGAACAAGAAAGATGAGGATTTCTCCCCAGATATCTGCACCCAATCACACCAGGTAAGAATCCAATTCTGTAATCCTACATGGGCAATCTGTTCCCCACTCCTCCTCCCAGGCTTTCCTGGATAACTAGTAGTCATAAGCATGAAGGTTCAGATTCTGTCATCCCTGTGCAAGCTGAGGAATATTTTATTTAATGGCAAGTCACGGGGGCAACTTGTGGAAAGGCAGAAGATGACAGAATTGGACCTGAAGACTCAGTGGTAACACATTTGCCTTCCTTCCTGAGGCTGAAGGAAAGATGGGATAAAATGAATTTCATTTTATGCCTCACTTTGGGGAAAAAAATTCCATTTCAGTATATTCCAATGATCAGTTTGTTCTGGTTTAGACACTGCTCTGCTGCAGAAACTGCAACATGTTCCAGCAAGCAAAGATCAGGAACTGATGGCAGATAGGATTCCTGATTTCAGTTCCAGCAAATGAGTTTAAACACTCCCAAGTAATGTGTTAACACTGTACTCAGTTCAGCATGTCCTTGCAGGAGAAAGGCCACAACACCAAAGTAAGCAGGATTTCAAAACACAGAAAGTAGAAGACAGGTCATTTTGCTTTGAGAGGTAAATTCACAGGTAGCACTGCACAGGCCTGTTCACAACAGCGTAAGTTATAAGACAGAGATACATCAGCTTCTGGAGTTTCCCTGGTGAAAGGATCATCAGATTTCTGCTCTTTCATAGCCCAAATTCCACATGCCAAACAGCAAATGGGCTTTAAGGCTGCTTAACTTTTCACTGCTGGTGAATTTTAAGCATTTCCATCTTGCCCATACCTGCCTATCCTAGTGGGGATGGGCAGCAGTGATCAACATACCTTGTATCTTCCTAGATTTGATAAAAATTCCAACTAAACACAAATTATTCTGGGATATGCACAGGCTGTAGGTCTAGATGGAGGAAATCTACCTGCACAGCAAAGCTTCATAAGATATCACAGGAGGATTTTTGTTCTGTTTTAAAGCAAAATATAATCTGTGTATCTCCACTCAACTAGGATCACAAGAGTTAAAGCAGTGCAACACTGAAGGAGATTCTCTAGTATCCCTGGTTAAAATCTCTGAGTAAGCACGTCAGCCTGGTCCATGACACTGAACTGACAAAGACACTCTTTATCCATTGATCTCAGGACTATATTTGGCAAGTCGATCTGTTTACGATACTGTCTTTTTAATCCACACGTCCCAGGAATTAAAAATCTCATCTTCAGTAAGTGTCAGCTGGATGCTCTTATTTTCCCTCTTGAGGAGCAAATGTGAGACAACTTGCAAAAGCCTCTCTCTGCAGGAAAGCTGGAAGTCTTAGCAGGCGCTGGCTCTAGGAGTCCGGTGCTTCTGTTGCTTCCTGGACCGTCCTCCTCAAGTTGCCCTTGACTTTGACAAATTCAGGTGCATTTTCCTGCTCTTCCTGTATCTTCTGTTTCTCCAGTTCCAGCTTAAAAGGGAATCACATATTAAAAAGAAAAGTATAGAAAACAGATCACTGAAACACACAAGACACAAAATTAAAGGTTTCAATAACTGACAATGCCAAATGCTTTAAACTGCTTCCTTTCTTTGTCTCATGGAAAAGATAAAGTTGCATTTCTTTGGGAGTATCTGTTCTCATAAACAATAAATCTTTTCAAATCCTTGGCTCTAGCGTGTTCCAGATGTCCACCTTTGCCAGATGGACAAAACTCTGCAAGCCCAGTATGAGAACAAGATGAAGCATTTTTTAAGAAATTCCTGGACATCTTTATTAAAGAAACAACAATAATTCCCTTCTCTGGTTTTTATAGTAGAACAGGAATAATGTGCCTTGTGGGAGAACATGTGAACAGCTACTATAAGCACACTCACAGAACTGACTTCTGAGTGTTTAGGTATGGGGTTCTGTATCTAACCTGAGCCTCTTTAGGAGTATCTGGTTTGTCTATCAGAAAAAGCAATAAAAAAAAATAAGAATCTTCCTTGGCCGCTAGTTGTTCATTTTTAAGAGTCCATTTGCTGGCTTTTTTTAACCTAGCTGGACTCCTGCCCATGGAGACACTTGGAATTTCCATGGCAGGGTAGACATGGCTGTACAGTGCCCACAGAGCACAGGTTCACACATGGCACAGAATATGGACTGCTTGGTGATCCTCAGGGAGGGCAGATAAGTTGGCAGAAAGGAAGAAAAAAACCCTTTAGAAAACTAACAAAAGAGCCTGAAAGAAGCTTTCTTTTTTTTTTTTTTTAAACAGACTAAGGTCTCCCTCATTAATGGGGACCACGTACAGCTCACCTAAATAATCTCTCCTTTGTCTCTGGTTCACTGGCAAAGGGGCATGCCTTGTTTCAATAAATCACAGCAATGTTCCTCCGTGAATCATGTTGTCAATTAATGCCATTCCTATGATGTTTCCAAAGTCACAGCACTGTTTGCAATAGGCAGATTTTTCCTCTTCTAACAGAATTTTATCATCTACATAATCTACACTGGATAGCACAGTTTTAAATCAAATCTTCCCACAAGCTGAACCATTCAAAGACGTGCCCTTAGGAGCAGATAAGAAAAATGACAGGATGATATACTTAAAAATACAATAACTTTTTCCAAAAATATTTCTAAGCCTAATTATAACAAAAAGCCACCAACCTACAATAAAACCCCAAACCCCAAATAATTACTGGATTATATGTAATTTTTAGTAGAGTAATTATTTGGCTTAATTGGTTTCCACTGAGAAAAACAGGAGATACTGTTTTAAAGCATGCATTTATAGCATTCATTTATTTGAAAATAAATGCAATGCTTAATGCACAGTGACTTCTCTTATGAGGTGTTTCACTGTAGAGATATTCCCTTGTAGGCACACAAAATGTTTTCAGAGGCACAGAGACATTTGGCTGGCCCTGTGCCTAGCAAAAAGCTTCACCACAATGAACTCCAACTCCACATCATCCCATGCTCAGGGTCTGAGGATCTCTTCCTTCATTTGAAAACACCAATGGGCTCACACGTTTTAAGGCTACAAAAAAATCTTTGTAAAGTAATCTAGTTTCTTGTATAATGTAGGAGAATCAACTGGTTTTTTAAAATTCATTAAATGTAGTTTTGATGCATTGCAGTCTAACAGCCATTCTTAGTGGATCATAGTTAAGACTACAAAAATTGACTAATTCACTACCATTTTAATGGTTAAGTAATGTCAGTGCTCCACTAACATTCCTGTTGGCTGGTGCAGGATTTATTTGACCAAAGGCAGACCCCATATGCAGTCCCTACACAGCAAGTGACAAAAAAAGGGTAATTACAGAGTGTGATTTGACTTATCCTAAAAGAGATATCTGCTGTGATCAGAGGAAATATGCCAAAAATTGGCTGCTGCTTCTTTCCTGTCTGCAAAGGGAGCCTCAGGTGAGTAGCTCAGATGCAGATATTTACAGGTAGTGTTATTTTCATCTTACCTGCTCCAGTTTCTGCTGTCGTTTCAGTAGCTCTATTTCCAGGTCTGATTTCTTCTTTTGTGCTTCCTCTTCTTTTTGTTGTTTAATAACTTGATCTCGTTTCCTTTTCTCCATCACCTTCTGTAGCTCTGGTTTGTTCTGAGGTGCAAGACCCCTTCAAATTAAAAAAGGGGGAGGGAGAGAAGAAAGATCAGTTTTAATTAGCAGAAATTCACACAGAATTGCAGGTGGGTTTTCTAAACTGAAGCAGTTGCCTATTTAGATACATTGGGATATAAATAATGAATTAAAAGGAAAAAACCCATTCAGACGTGCCTGGTTTCTAACCAAAACCCTAAGCTAGAATTTAAGCCATATAACCCACTGTGGATATTTAGCATGCACGGTAGTATTTCTCCTGTATAATTCATTATTTTAACTTTCATCTTTAGTCTTCACTCTATTCTCTCAATTCCAAAAGAATGGATTAAAAAAAACCCAAAGAAATCACAAATCACTACACTAGCAAATTTTGGACAAGAGAAATTCCTTTGCTGGATGATAACTCCGAATGGCTTTGTTGAGACAGCCCTGTGCAGGGTATTCTACCCATAGAATTTTGCATGGACAAAACTAAAAAGTGGTCTGTCACACTGCTCCGGGAAATCGTGGATTCTCTCCTTTCCTTGAAAATGTGACAGCTTTACCCATGCTTGGCTGTGAAGCTATTTCCAGTGAGAGCTCCCAGGCTACACTTAACATCACAAAGAGCCTAAGACAACAAAAATCCAGAATAAAAAAGTTGCCGTCACCTTGGAGACCAGACAAAGCCTGGAGGATTCTCCCTCTCACAAGCCTTTGGGTACTACATCAACTGAATGTTTCAAGTCTGTTCAGCACAAATTGCTTTCCAAGCCAACTACTGCGAAATGAGAAAGCTCCCTCTTAGGGAAGACGCATGACATTATTTATACAGGCATACACATGGATACTCACTCCTACTCATTTCTGTGACTTCAGCTATTTCTTTTATCTCTGTTATGCTATGATGGTTTCAAAATTTGTTATGATAAGATTCAAAGCTCTCCCTGTTATTCAGGTATTAGCGTCACTTAAGGCAGAGCAGAGTGATCCCAAATCTGTCCTTGTTATTGTCATCTTCCCTCTGAAGATGATTATGTGAAACTATCCAGCATTAAGTTTAACATCAACCATTTTTTATTTCAACTTGAAGAAATTCAATAATCTGAATAAGCTTTCAGAAAGCGTATTTTTACCCTTCCCTACTTTCTATACAACTGTGGTTGCCTAATTATTCATTAATATGCATATCTGACAGCATGTCCAATAAAACATTAAAATGCCATTTTATGGTGGCATCTAGGAATGACTCCATCTATTATGCAACACTCTATCCCTGCACATACCCTGACAGAAAAATCAAATATTTAGCAACATCAAATGCTGTTCCCTATTTCTCATAATAGATCTCATGGCCTCAATGCAACAGAAGCTACAAGATCATGTTCATATTTTATGTTTCATGCTATTTTAAATACATTTTAACACATAAAACTGAAGTCAGGCAGGAAAAGCTGGAGTGATTTTTTTTTTTTTTACTACTACTACTACTACTACTACTACTGGATCAGTGAGAGCAGAATCAGTGGAATATTCCGTACTAGCAATCAGCAATCAAGACAGCCACAAACCAGAGTCCAGCTGCTAAGTAACATTACTTGTTCCTGCTTTTTTCAGTCAGGTTGCACCATAACAAAGCAGAGGCACGAGACTGATTTGGATGTGCTGCAGCTGTAACAAAGGGGACCTGCAGAAGCTACGAGTAAATGCAACCTCTCAGTCTAATCAGATGGGGTTGCCAGTCAGATCTGTAACAGAACAGTCAATCCTATGTCCACTCTCTTATGTAAAAAGGAAAAGCAACAAACTGGCAGATACTGGATTAACTGGGGTCTTGTATCACCTCCTAGTGATCATTCTGGTTAAATTACAAATCCTAAAATTTCGATGTAGGGGAAGCAAAATGTGCTACAACACTGGTTAGAGATGATAGGGTTAAAATCTCTGGAAGGAAAAGGACCAATACTCCGCAGAGCTGAAGCTGACTCCTAATAATTAAAATAGTTTAAGATAAGTTACCAGCGCCTTGAGGTAGCACTACCTGAATCTTTGTTTGCCCAAACAAAACTCCATTTCTGCAAGCAAATAGCTACACCAGTTCAAGGCCCAACAGACACTGCTCACAGTGGGCATGGAAAATGATCAGACCAGTGCTGGCTAATATCTTCCAACATCCATTTCTGGCTGTTCAAAGGTAACTGGGCAAAAAGTGAAGCTGCTGGTGTCTACACTGAGCCTTCACAATAAAATAAGCAGCGTGTTGAGCAGCATAAGAGCAATAGAAGTCCTCCATACATATGACAGTTTGCTGTAACAAAGCAGAACACAAGCCTAATACCTACATTACTGAAAAGCCTCCTAACAGAGCTAGTACAGTGGCACAAAGCACTGAAGACTAACTCTCTTCTGCTGGTGAAAACCCTCAAAGTATTTAATTTCTGCACCAATAAATAAGACTCTAAAATTAACAGCTGCAGCTAATCAAAATCACAATAAGAGAAGAGCGGGTACTGAAGGCTGCACAACTTCTCTGTGTAATAGGATATTCTCCTTGAAGAAAAGAACTCCATACGATTTAAAAGTGCTTTATGCTTTCATAAACTTAAAAGAAAAAAAAATAGTCTTAATTTATTGCAGCCTCCACATCCTTTAGATTAAGATCATAAGTCGGGAAACTTCAACTATTTTTCTTTCAATGACTATAAACTTCTTGGTGCTAGAAAGTGACTTTGATGTTTAATCCCATTAACGAAAAATAGGACAAACACCTATTTAGGCCAGTTTCTTCCAATTCAGTTGGCATTCTTAAAACATCTTCATCACTAAAGAAATGCTATGTTGTGTATGCAATTCATTTAGAATTAAGTCTCTAAGCCTAGCATTTGTGAAGATTTTGCTATTACACATAAAAAGACCCCTTCTTTCCTCAAAATACTATACTGCCAAAGGATTACGGGAAAAAAAAAAAAGGAGAAGCTTCCATAATGTGACTATTCCTACTAAACAGACAAATCTAGTTGTGCTGGAGTAGCCAAAACCACAGCTTTCTACTCGCTGTTGTCAAGGTCCTGAGCCTCAAAAAGCCTGAATGGCTGCTACCTCCAACTTTATTCTCAAATGAACTCTGAAATACTGCTCTTCCACCTCTGTTTTATAGATCCCCAGATCTAGCCTTTGGAAAGGCTATTTTGAGTGGCTTAAATGCAGCAAATCATTCGTTTATATCAAAGTTTCTGTTGGTTTAAATGAAGGAGCATCAACAGGCTTGGTGGCTTTTCCTCCACTATGTATTTTCTAAATGAGTTCTCTGTTGCTGAAGAGATTTAGTAACAGAACTTCAGCTATTCCTGGGCCAGGTGGTTGTGTCTCTGAAATTGATGAAATAAAGTTACTGTTATTTACATCCTTAAAAGCAATATATAGAGCAACAGCTGTGCATCCCACCCCAGAAGGGAGGAGGCAGCATTTGTGTAACACACAAAGAACCACTTGTGCAGCAGCAGAGCAGGCACCAGATTATGACACTGCGCTATGAGACGGATCAAGCAAACAGACAACAGTTGCATGTGAAATCAACTACATGATTTCTTTGATTTAAAAGTAGCCTCATAAACTCAATGCGCTGGGAATGGTGAAAAAACACAGATTTTATCATCTTGCTGTTAATAGCAAAGTTTTGTCAAATACTTGACAAAGTGAAGAGTACGAGCCAAATTACAGTGCCCAGGTAACCTACATAAAACGTGACAGGGAGAAGTGAACTCCTTCCTCCCAAAACTGACCCTGTGAATATTCACAAAGACAAAATAAGAAGACTTCTATAGCAAGCTTTTGCAGAGAAACTGAAATTCAAACAGAAATAAATGCTACGGTTAAGAATCAGAATCTTTTAATTTACAAGATCTGAAACAACAAAAAGTGTCTGCCGGGTTTTGGGTACAAAGTCATTTTGATGAAACTAAAACTCAGTCTGTGTCTTTGGGGTGGGAGGGTGGCACGAGTGATTTTTAGACTCTTACCTTTTCTGATTCATAAGTAGCTCTCTATGGAGATCTTGATGATTCCGGGATGACTTCACAGGATTAATTAATTTCTGAGGTCTAATTAACTCAGGATTGTCATCGTCTATGTAGTCTGGTTCAGCCATAATCTTTCTTGGAAAGGGATATGGATCTTTGGGTTCAGTGTCCTTATTCACAGTATCTGTAAAATAGGGGAAAAACTGTAGTAACTCTACACCAAAAGGCCTTTTAAAGACATACTAAAACACAAAGGCAGTATGTTCCTTTGTTAAGTTACGCTTTTCTTGGATTTATTTTGTCTGTAGTAAGTAAAGGCTCTCAGAGTAAACATCAGTAGCTTCTTTTTAAATAGACAGCAATTTCATAACAGTGGCATCTTCAACAGCCTTCATCCAGTGACTTGGATACACAACTTCCTACCATTTTATGAGGAACTAGACAAATAATTCAGGGTAAGTTTGGGAAGACCCCTATTGATTTTAATAAGCCTATTCAGATGAAGCATTTTTAGATCAGCAGTACTGAGTCCCCAAAAGACATTTTAAATACTGACTATATTAAATACTATGAATGAGACTCATTTTCTGCCATCAGTCTCATGTCAGTTACAGGGAAAACACCTGCGGATAAGCCCTGAACTGTACTGAGCAAAAGCTTCCGTGTGGAAATTGCCAGATCTGCAACTAATGGGGTGGGGGACTGATTTCTGAGCTGAAAGGTTGAGGAAAAAAGTTAGGTGAGGTTGTTTCTTTAAGGTCACAAAAAAATCCACAGAAATCCGCTGATCTGAAAGCAATTGATGATTTATATCATTTGGAAATGCGACATTGTCCTATTCTGTTATGGAAAACCTACCTATAGAAAACTTATCTACACATCAAATCACAACATTTTGAATCAAAAACTGACAAGTAAATTATAGTTTTCAAATAATTTATATGTAACCATTCATACCTCTTTCCATTAAAAAGCCTCAATCACAAGAAGTTCAGCATCCAAAATAAAGTACATTCAGAGCAATTCTGCCTGCACCAGAATCTGCAATAGTCAGTTTGATGAAACACTGGCCTCTCAAACAGAAATGCAAAATATAATCTCACAGCCTGTGGGTTTGCAGAGATGCACCAATGGGACATGAATAAAAGGCGAGAGACTTCCACCTGCCTGACAGGCAGGACAGCTGAATGGTGCACACTGTACACATGGGGCTATGAGACAGATCAGAGAATCACTGGGATTTGCTGTGCATTTTCCAGTAAAAGCTGAATATGCACTTTAATTTAGACCAGCCGTTCCCTCCCTTTCTCCCTCCATGGGCTACAAAACCTTTGTTCAGTTGCAGTTTAAATCTGTTCACTATTTTTTTCAGTAGGAATCTCATATTGTTGCTTGAGTCTGATTGAAATCCACTTGATACAGTTGAAAGATTTCCATTAATACTCCAGTACATTAAAACTGAGCAGTAGCACATCACCCAGCTTGGGCTGCTAACAGGTGAAGAGGCAAAACAAGATTAAGGTTTCAGCAGATGCAGGGAGGACACTCTGGATTGTCCAGTGGACCCAGCATAGACCTTTCAGCTTCTTTGTTTGAATGGATGATAGGGACTGTGTTTTCTTAGTGCTACATCTCATACACCAAGTTTCTGTGGAGTAACTTGGATGAGAAACATCAGAGTGAGCTGCTCTCAGGGTGGCTTCCTTCATGAGTTTTTTAAGGCAAGTTCATATGCAGTATTTTTGAACACAAGGGGATGTCAGGTCTCACAGGGACCTCTCAAATTAATATAAAAATTGTCCACAGTTCCAAACCATGGAATTGTATTGCTGTACATGACATAAACCTCTTACTGACACCGATCATGCAATAAATATACTTCTCCCATCACCCCTTCAGAGTCTTCCCTGCTTCAATCAAGCAGCCATCTATCACCATACATGCCAACAATACAGGATCATTGGAAAACTGAGGTCAGAAGAAACTTGAAAGACTTCTAATCCAACCTTCTGCTGAGAGTAGGAACCGTTATAAACTCAGACCAGATCGCTCAGTACTTTGCCCAGTAAGGTCCTGAAGTTCTCCAAGGCTGCACAGCCTCTGTGGGCAACCCTCTCACCTGCCTTCATGGTGGTTTTTCCTCACACCCACATGAATCTCTTGTTTCAACTCCTGCCTGTTGCCTCTCACCCTCCAACCATGCACTCTGGTGAAGGGTCTGCCTCTGTCTTCTTGGTAAGCACCTCCCAGGCACAGGGAGCTGCTGTTTGGTCCCCCCAAGCCTCTGCTCCGGGATGAGCCAGCCCAGGTCCCTCAGCCTCCACCACAGCACCTGTGCCCCAGCCCATCTTGGTGGCCCTTTGCTGAACTCATAACTCAAATCCCTCACTGTTCAACAGCATGCTATGTAAACAAAAAACAACCCCCCAGAACCCCAAACCTCAGCAAACTTCTCAACACACACCACACAGCACCTGTTATATGCTGTTGATAAAATGTTTGTAGAGGTCTGTTCTCTTTACCATAGATAGTGAATAAACTAGCTACAGTTCTTTTTTTTTTTCTTACATAACTTTTCATACTTCTTCAGTGTTTACCACAACTAAAATAACTCAAATATTACACATCTATCCTGCATCCAAAATAAACACTCCCTGTAAGTATTTGTTTTGCTGTACTCCTCTATCAGTTCTGTTGCACTGATGGGGCTGTGAGTCTTCTAGAAGCCATTTATCACGAACAGCTCTCTGTTAAAGTAAATCTGAAAATAACCTGCTGCTGCTTCAAGATAAGTCTTGTTTGCTTAGACAAAGATGAAAAATGTAGAATTACCTACAACTGTCTGTCATAAAAAAAAATCTACAATTTTTTTTTAACATAAGCCCCTGAAAAACAATTTGATTCAATCATTTCTCAAAGTTTGATGCAATATTTTGCAGCATGTAGATTTGGTTTGAGCAAGCCCTTAGAGTGAAGTCTATTTATTCTTCTTTCTTCTGTCCCATCTCTATTTTTAAAACATGTATTCAACTCAGAGGTCAGGAATCGTGGTTTCCCACTGTAATATGAACTCTACTTGCAGCAAACATGAATGAATAAAACTCCCCTGGGAAACTGAAGACTCTTTCCATGTGTGATTAAGCTGCAAATGATTTCAGTTAGGATTTCCAAGCAGAGCCAGCACCACAGGGCACCCAGTTCCCACTCAGTGAATCCTCTAATACCCTTTGCAAACCTCAGCCTGGCTAGAGGACACTAACCCAGTCCTGTGCAGTCACTGTGCAGTATTATATGCAAACAATACAATTAAGATAGTGTGATCTCTACCTACATCCTTTCAAAGCAAACATTTACAAAAGAACAGGCAAGTTTCCCATAAAAAGGAAATAAAAAGGAAATTGAGGCACAAAGGGCAGACAAGCACCACACCAAAGGCAGACAGGAACAGAGCAGTTTAGTCCCAGAGTTTCATCCTGAGATTCAGGATGAATCTCAGGATGAAACACACCAACAAACCAGTCAAGCTCGATGACAGAATCCCTTAAAAGTCCTTACACAAAACTTAATCAATGTTCAAGCAATAACAATTAAAACATTATTAATTCCACGAGTCTCTAGTGCTCATCACCACAAAAGTCACAGCCCATAAAGCTGCTTCAGATCATCACTAGGTGCTACAGTGGGACATTAATAATCCAAATAATCACTTAACAGGAATATGCTGCCTTAAGAGCATCCGAGAGGCTCCTTTTAACCATCTGCTGTTACAAGATCAACTGAGAATACACAATCCACTTCTGTGTTTCCCCATTACCTTGCTCCAAAACAAAGGAGATCTGGATTCAGGGGATGTTTTAGCTCAGCTTGACTCAATTTTAATACACCCACTAATTTGGCAGGTCCTTCCCCAGTGCATTTCCTGAATTAGCTGTTGCTGCACAAGCAGCACAAAAGCATTTATCTATCTTATCTTGTTGTGCCTGAGTAACTCTCACAGTCTTTGTCCACAACTAATCTTAGGTACACGTGGATTTTCATCGAGAAAGGCAAAAAGGGGGATCCTGCATGGAAGAGGAATTTTAACTCCTCAAACAGAACTGTGAAGCAATTTCGATATCCCACTAGACAAGGAAAATGCCTCTGTAGAAAAATTACTTCAAATATCCTCCCAGAAAGAAGTTTAATGTTTCCAGATGAAAAGATGCTCTTAGAGCAATTAAGTACTACCATACAGGTACCTCAGGCTTGAAGAGCCAAGACCAAGTGGTCACATATTCGCAATTCTCTCATTTAATTTCCTCAGAAGGCAAGTACATTCAGGAAGAAGAGAAGACACCCTTCAAAAGTTGATCATACTGAGGAGATACAACCAAACCAGAGCATGCCAGAAGCGTGCAAGTCATTTGGGGGAACTTGTCCAACCAGATACATTTTCTTCCAATGTTATTTATTTTTTATTCTGTCTACAGAGTTGGGTTTTTTCCACAAAAGTCCCTTAATGCTAGTAACACTGGAAACGTGTACAAAGAGAGCTGCAGACAGCCACTAGTGTTTTTAACAGATTCAAAGTAGATCTTAACAATGCCAGGTTGATTCAGCAGCTGCCAGAGCTTTTGCTACAACAGAGCTCCCGAGCTCCCGTGGCTTCCACAGGAGAGAGAAGTTCATGCAAACTGCCCCCCCCAAACCCTCATGTTTATATGGCATTCAGAGAATTGCATTTATTTTCTATCTGATATTCCTCATACTAGAAATCACCCTCTACATATGGAATCTGAATATAAAAATTCCTGTGAGACACCATATATTTATATTATTACACACATATATGGCATTTTCACCCTTCAGATGATTCCCACAATTATTTCCAGCTGTGAAAGCAGAGGTAGAGTTGAGGCCCCTTAAAAAGCAGATAAATAAATGCCTAAAAATACCAATGGACATGAAAATAATAGACTAGATCAGATCCAAAAGTTACATTAAGGCTAAATTCACGTGATTTCCTTTTTGCCTTAATAAATTCTTGAACTAATATCTTCCACAGAAGCATTATCTCAAACACTGAATAACTCCTGAAAAGGATTTTATTCTCAAAAAAGCTCCAACATCTGTTCTGAGCTGCACTGTAAACCATCAGACGCTATTTTTTAAGACTTACATTTTTAGCTCTTTAAACCACCGCGT